CGAAAGGCTAAGATGCCTTGACATGATCTCATTAACCAGAGTATTAAGAATAGGGAAGCCCCAAAAATTTATTTTCTGGCTGACAGAAGTTCATAGTACTAGTGGCAGAGATAAAATGGCGCCTTGATTCGACCAGTTGTGTATATATTGTTTTTTTTATTCAAAATTTAATTTATTTTTATTAAAGTTTACCTCATATCACACACACTTAACTGCATATACATAAATTGGCATTTCTCTGACGTAATGATTTTTTCAAAATGACTTTATAGTTTCAAAGATATGATTAATTCCAAAATAAATTTAAAAAAATCAGTGCAATGTAAAACAAAAATGTGGGTATCTACCAAATCAAATAATTTTTTTTTTGGGTTCACAAGGACGAATAGGAACTGAAAATGCACCTTTAATTAATTACATTTTTTTAAGCTAATAAAGTTAGTCCTTAACATACAATTAAAAAAAAAATAATAATTGCAAAATTTCAATGATATTCAAGGATAAAATTATAAAAGGATATTTTCAATACCTACCCGTCCATAACGCACCAACAAATGTAGTGTGTTTAAACTCTACAGAATCTTCTCTTTCATTTGATACCCATACTGTTTTTTTTTAGGAATATTGCACAGAAATTTTTAAATCATTTTTTTGATGACTCTTATCTTTCAAATTTTAAAGTTATTTAAAAAACCCCTTGGCCCTTAGTTTTTTGGCACTAAGTGGGGTAGCCTGCTTGCGGTATGGTAGGTGTGGTTTCTAGGGGTTAGGGCTGTGTGTGACTCGGTACCAGTGGGTTAGATAGTGTAGCGGTTAGGTGAGTTAGCACATTTATGGTGTGAGTCAAAATTTTAAGAAAAATAAGACTCAATTCGAGAAAATTAGTAATCGACTATATCATGTCTATGTTATCTCAATCGATTTTCAGGTGTAGGAAAATTTAGAAACATGAAAATTTCAAAATGCGATATCTCAGCGAAAAAACTGATATTTCAGCAAACAAAACGCCATTTGAAACTTGTACTTAGACATGCCAGCCTATAATTTTGGTGAAAGAAAACATCTGCTAGGCTACATAACCTCAAATATGGGCAAAAAAGGTGTTTTTTGCATTTTTAGGTTAGGATATCTCGAAAACCAGAGCTGATAGAGCAATTCTGAGGCCAGATTCAGATTCATCGCATCAAAATCCTTTGAAAATATATAGTCCGGTTTCTGGGTCTGAGATGCTGTCGGCCTGTGTTATTTTTGTGTGCAAAGTTGCCTGCCGCAAGGTATTATATGTATGTATGTATGTATATTGAGCTACACATTTATGAAAAAAAGTTAAATATTAAATAAACAGAAGACATACGATATAGTCATAACTGATCAACATAAAGCGTTTCTATTATTACTTCCACTAAAAAGGCCGGAATCGTGGGATTAACCTTCCTAATACGCACCTACTTAAAGCATAGACCAGATGGTACATATCTGGTTCACACTTGAGCTGAAATCTAATCTCTTTTCTGGGCTTGAAGGAAAGTTAGTCTATTAACTCTAAAATATGGAGAAAATGCCAAAGCAGTTGAAGATACACAACCTGGTGAAAAAAAAGGAATATTGGAGAGACCTTCACCTCCGACATGTTACCGGACTTTTAGTTAAATAGAAGAAGTTCAGGAGAGGCCTTCTGTGGCATATGTGGCAGAAGTGCGTTAGATCAATGAAATTCAACGCTAAGAGAAAATCTTAGTTATTTCGTTGTTCTTTTCTTACTATTTGGCGCTGTAGCCGCCCCTAAGCGATTTTGGCCGAGTTCAACAAAGCACGCCAGCCGTTTCTCTTCAGTGCCAATGGACGCCAATTGGAAATGCCAAGTGAAGCCAAGTCCTTCTCTACCTGGCCATTCCATCTCAGTGGGGGCCTCCCTCTTCTTCTGCTACCACCAGCGCGTTCCGAGTTGAATACTTTCAGAGCTGGAGCGTCGGTGTCTATTCGAACGGCATGGCAAAGCCAGCGGAACCGCTGTATTTTAATTAGCTGCATTATGTCCATGTCGCTGTAAAGCTCATACAGCTCATCGTTCCATCGTCTGTGGTTTTCGTACTTCGAGAGAGGACTTTACTTCTGAATTGCCTACTCAGTCCAAAGTAGAACTTGTTGGCAAGAGTGATTCTGCGTTGGATTTCCATGCTGACATTTTTCTCTACTTTCTCAAAGCTTTTTGTCCTTTGTAGATCGTTTGTTATAGGCCCTTTTGTACCTTTGAAAATAACTTATGTACAAATATTTGAATAAAAATAGGCTTTGCAATCAGTTTTTTGTCCAAACTTCATGTTGTCATATATTTTTTGTTTTCATTCTAACGGTTGTTTCTTAAAAAAGCAACAAACATGTCATCAATTTTTCATTTAGTAGGATTTTGTGTGTTTCTTGGTTCGTCTTTCAAGTATTTAGGCAATGTTTTAAGTGTGTTTCCCCTATCGGCCCTCAATATTTTTATTTACATATTGTTTGTTTATATTTTAAGATTATAAAAGTATTCAGTGTAAAATTTGCTGGGTGCAATAGCGAAAGATATTGAATATGAGGGTTTTGAGCCAGATCGGTATGAGTTGCAAACATGTATTAATTACGTTTGTAAAAAATTTGCATTCTTTTGGCAAAGATTCAAACGCCAAAAATCAGCAGTTTTGAAAAATCATTATAATTGGCTCGAAAAGAAAGAAATCATTTAATTAAAATGACAACCAACAGTTTCCACCAATGCGAATCGTGGCGCCCGAAAATAAACTTTGTTGAGTCTTCAAAAAGACTAATCGTCGGCGAACATATCGGGGTAAAATTTTTACCCAAGGTCTGTTAAGAGTAAAAACTCTAATATGTAAAAGTGGGCGGGGTTGGACACGCCCACATATAGTCATGTGAAAAATAATAGGGACACGACATTGTGACCAGTTTCGGCTATTTTTGTTTTTTTTTGTTTGTTTAATGTTTATTGAAAAAAAAAATTTAAGAATTCAACAAAATTTTAAAGCAACACCAAACTTTTTAAATAAGAAATTTTAGAACAAAGTTATGTACGCAGTTTTTAGCGCACTGAATTCCAGCTCAAGAAAGTGCAAGTTTTAAGTGGCTTAGAAATCGCTCTGTTTTTTGATAATTTTTTTTTCTGACGTCACGCAATTTCTTCCATTTAAAGTATGTTTGACAATTTTTTTTTTATGGAAACAAATAGTAACACCATCCGCCAAAAAAAAAAATATCAACAATCAACGAAAATTTTTAGCCACTTCAAACTTGCAATTTCTTAAGCTAGAATTTAATGGGCTATAAAACTGCACACCTAGATTTTATCTAAAAGTTCTTATTAAAAAGGTTTGTGTTGTTTTATAATTCTGTTGAATTTTTATACTTTTTTAAAATGTTTGAAATTTGGAGTTATGTGGTTTTGTTAGATAGCGAGTTGTATTTTTATAAAAAAAAATAAACATTAAACAAACAAAAAAAAAAACAAAAATAGCCGAAACTGGTCACAATGTCGTGTCCCTATTATTTTTCACATGACTGTATGTGGGCGTGTCCAACCCGGCCCACTTTAAGATATTACAGTTTTTACTCTTAACAGACCTTAGGGTAAAAATTGTATCCCGACATGTCCATTAAAAGTACTTTTGGCCGCTCTCCTCATATAAATGCAACCACTGTGGATTGGTACAATACAGCGAACTTCTATTGAAAATTTGTACAATAAGTTTGTGGTGATGGGGATAAAGTAAAATATTCGTGCCTTCACAAGATTGGGATACGATTTGCACCAAACTTGGGTTTCAACTGTATAAGAATGATTTCTTGCATGACACTGTCAATTTCATCAGAAGACTTCAAGTCATCAACATATGTAGATGTCTTTGCATTTAGCAATCTTAAGTCGATGGAGGGCTAAAAACTTCGTCCGAATGCCTTCACGTAATAGCTTAGTACTTTTTATGTAGCATTCTTGTGGTTAGTTAAACCCTGCAAAAAATTGTGCGACTAATCTCTAATGAGAGTATTCCGAGATTAATATCAATCGGTTACAATTGTGCATTAATTAGTCGCAACTAGTCTCATACGGGTACTGTTGGAGATCAATTAGTCTCGACTCATCCCTTACGGGTATAATTGGAGATCAATTAGTCCCAGACTCAGCGCTAACGGGTACTAAATATTAACGATTTAATGATATATACGCACTTAGTCAATGAAATTTCATGTTGGCACATAGAGAGAGTATTCGTTTAACAAAACTGAGAAACCCGGTTCGAATCGCAAATTTTAATTTTAATTTTTATTTTTTTAAAGGTGACTAGCCACTTCATAGGACATGTTCGAACAAAAGCGAACAGTTTATTCCATATAAAGAGATTAAAATTAGTATAAGTCGATTGTTCCTTTGCGATTGCCCCCGGAGTCATCCAGATTAGTCGCATTTTTTGCAGGAACGGACATGTTCTTGCACATCTACACATACACACCTTCACATAAATACTTCTATTAGGAAATTTTAAATCTCCTATGGTCCTTTAGGAACCCACGCCGTGCCACTTAATATCAGAATCGAGAGGCTTTTATTATTAAGAAGAAATATGACTAGAAGAGGAACCAAATACATCCTATGCGAAAATTTCGCTTGAAATGTAAGCTCATTAAAGTTTTTCTAACCTCGTAATGGTTACTGACTTTAATAATAATTTTGCCAACTTTTTTCGTCCGCCGCTGAGGTTGGTCTAGCACGCGATTCTTCAAACAAGCGAATTTTTTCCAATTTGTCTTTTAATCAAAAAAGCACAGATGAATGATAGTCAAAACAAGTTGTATCATAAATATATATTTGCAAGTCAATTAAAATAACTCCGTAAATGGTAACGCGATTTTCATGTTTTTGCGCTATCAATGATTTTAGTTTTTCACTTATAAAATTTACCTATAAATACCAGGCCAACAAGCCAATGATTGCCATTGTGTCTCAAAATCTGGTGAATTATCAATTAATAAAATTTTCCAGTAACGTCGCTAAAGCACTTTCCCCGGCATGAAGTACTCTGCGTTCGCAATTGTCGTCCTTTGTTACCTGAGTGTCCTAACAAAGGTAAATCTTAAAGAATTTTGTGAACAAAACTATGATTTACTAAAAAAACAATTCTAGGCTGAGCAACTATATACTGTGAAAATGGAAGACGCCGAATGTTTCAATGGCTTCAAGGAGACCATCTTTCGTTGTGATTTGAAAATCGTTGGGCGAAAACGCCTACTCAATGGCACAATGACATTCGGCGAGGATATGGCTAGCGATCACTTTAAATACCAAATAGAGATATTTAACGCACCACTCGGCGTTAATCAGTTCAAGCGATTGCCTATGGGTGTGCCGCGCACCCCTATTTGTGAGGGTTTTAGAGCCTATTACGGCGATATTCTGCAGCCGTCGTTTATTCACGGGGAAAATACCGATCTGCCTTATATGCCAGAGGAAGGTCTTTGCCCCTTCCCAAAAGGTGAATACTGGTTAAAGAATTTGCTGCTTAACACAGGCGCTTGGCCAAATCAATTACCGCGTGGTCTTGTAAAAGCAGTGTTAACGTTTTTCAAAGATGAGGTAGATGTTGGAGGCGGTTCAGTAACTGTGCGTGTCGAAGATCGTGAATGAAGCACACGAGATACTAGAGTTCGGAAAGAACATTAACTTCGATTTTGAAAATTATTAGCTATTTGGTGTAAAGTAAATATTTTAAATAAACATAATATTAATATGAGTATGTGCGCAGCAAAAACATTTGTATCTATTAACATTTTTATGAAATTGTATTGAAAATGAAGTGGCATTGCTAATTGGAGGTATGAGGAATCCGGACGCTGTCCGGGTAGTGATGGCACAAATAATCGTATAACCGATTATAATCTGTTATTTACTTTCGGTTAACGATTTGATTGTATCGAAATTTTCCTTTCTTTCGATTAACGGCTTACTTTTAGAAATTAAATAAAATAAACCATCAAAATTCTATTACTTTACTCAAGCGATAACGTATACATATATCAAAATTTCGTAATTAAAACATGGCGCTCTAACCTTGGGCTGCCATAAGTCGGAACCCGTCGACCAGGACACTTCCCAGCAAACCCTTTGATTCTTATCATCCACGAAGATAGAAGTGAATATGGTGCCAATAACTTTATTCCTTATAAGTACAGTTGCATTGGTTCTGGCTTTGCATTATTCTGAATGCAGCTTTGTGGAACAATCCGTAGCGCTGGATGATTGATGATGATTTGGATGTATAAAAAAAAAAAAATCTTTTTCCCAAAAAGTACAATAAAACATATTTGATATAACCTACACCTTAAATAAATTCCTTAAAAAGTTTCCTTTTTGGTTGTTGTTGTTTCCGACAGGGTTTCCTTAAAAAGTATGATTTTATGAATTAAAAACGGCTTTAAAAGATTTTCTCCAAAAGGCCTTCTGAAGCATGATTCAATAATTAAAGGTTTACTCATGGTAAAACCTTTCTCTCAACTCGTCGGCCATGATTTTGTTTGAAATTATCTATATATGTGACCTGGTCTACGAAAAGGGAGCTTACGTGCGAAAACTGGTTTTCTGTGAAAAAGCTGTTAAAAGTAAGGAACTCGTTTCGTCAGTTTCTCATTATCTCGTTAATTGTTCTCCGCGCCGGACGTCCAGTAAGTGTTGTTGTTGGTCCAGTAAGTGTTGTTGTTGGTCGGAATATTATTATATATATTATATATATATTTTGTCGTATTTTTACTCTTCTTTCTCTACATTTTTAGTACACTTCTAAGCAAGTTAGGATTTTCTGCTTTTCACCACGTGAAAAAGCATCTCATCTTCCATCCGAATCAACCAAAAAGTGAAAATCGATTTTTTGACACCTAAGCCCCCTTTCCGTAGACCAGGTCACATATATATATATATAACAGACACAGGAAGCGCGCACTGCCTACCACTATACCACAGCAGCCGCCTATGGTTTTTATAAGTTTTCAATTTAATTCAAAATGACCGATTAATCGATTAATTTCCTACGCTTAATTTCCTTTCGATTTCTCAATTAACCTATTAATCGATTATAACATATTTCGCCATCACTATCTCAGGGGCATCTAGAATGGGCTGCTCTCCACATTTTTATCCAGGAAAAACACGGTTACACTGTGTGCTAGTGTGGAATCGAAGGCAATGACGTCGGCGACGAGATGGAACGAGAAGGATCAATAACTGCCGTTTCGGGACCAGAGCTATTTTGTGATCTTAGTTGGTTCTCTTCGAGAGCCATACTTATTGAGTGGATACCCTCTGAACGCAGTACTTAAGTACTATGGGCGGTGGGGGGCTATAGGTAGGTCAGGCTCTTCGGCTTCCCTTCAGCATAAAGGATATTATTTTAGAAAATAGAACATCAGGCTATTTTCTGCGTACCTGACTGATCACAGCGATTGCGATTCCACTTGCACCGAATATTTAGGTAGGTATGATCCCAGAGTTGGAATGCCGAATCTGCCTTGAAGGTGATGAAACTTCAGAGCATATTCTATGATACTGTCCAGCTTTGGCCAGACAAAGATTGACCCATTTCAATTATTACACTGTGCGATAATTTCATGACAATCCAAACCAGCCCGGACTTTGGTATTATTTTCTGAAAGTATACATACCCAGTAATAAAAAACTCGATGGATTTGCAAAAGTTAGCTCGTATTTTAATTTTATGGCCTACTAAAGTTTTTATGTCCCAGCCTAAGCAGTTTTCAAAAAAGTTGAAAAAATTGTTAAAATATATGTCTGAGCGAAATTAAAGGTTTAATAAGGTTTAATATCAACGGTTTTACCCTCCATTCCCGCCCATCCCCACGAGGGTCGCAGTTCGCATGACGTACGGAACCAATATTTTAAATTTTTGCGCCGAGTCACGAAAGGCAGGAGATTGTTAAGTGTCGAGATCTAAAACTGTTCAGCAACAGAACTAAATTCATCAGCTGACTTTATGTCTTTGTGTAAATAATTCATTTATTGAGAGAGGAGAGTATCGCTTTCGTATATAGTAAAATTTCATGGGAAATATCAATGATCTAGTCACCCAGAATAGGGTATCCTCAAAATGGAAGGTCGGTTAAGAAATTTTAAATGGGGAAAAGACTATGAGAACCCGTAACATGGGTTTTGCCCATAAGTCCATATTTTGAGGTTTTTTTTTGCGTCCTAGTTGATTTTCGTTGTTATCTACAGCATTATTTAAATGCAATAATAATTTTTCCAACTTTCTTCGTGCACTCCTCTGCGGTCGTGTTGCAAATGTTTTGGCACGCGGTTGTTCAAACAAAAAGCTGAGATGAATGATAGTCAAAATACCATGTATTCTAAATATATATTTGCAATTCAATTAAAATAATTTCGCAAATGTAAACGCAATTTTCATGTTTTTGCACTATCTATGATTTTAGTTGGTCGCTTACAATAGACATCAACTTATAAATACCAGCCGAACAAAACAACGATTGCCATTATTTCAAAAAATTTGGTGAAAATAATTTTTATAAAAATTCCCGATACCATCGCTAACACACTTCTCTCGGCATGAAGTACTCTGCGTACGCAATTGTCGTCCTTTGTGCGCTGAGTGGATTATCAAAGGTAAAACTTGATGAGTTCTCTGAATGAAACTACATATATTTTACTAGAAATAATTTTAGGCTGAGCAAGCGTATACTGTGAAAAATGAAGCTGTTCAATGTTTTAATGGTGACGTGGATAGCATCTATCATTGTGAATTGAAACTCGTTGGACGACAGCGTCTACTTAATGGCACCATGTCAGTCGACGAGGACATGACCAGCGAACACTATACATTTCAAGTAGAGGTGTTCACCTCCCCACTGGGCGATGATCAGTTCAGGCTGTTGCCTATGGGTGTACCGCGCACCGGCGTTTGTGAGGGTCTTCGGTATTTGTACACCAAACAGGTGCAGCCGTCGGTTATTCAGGGGAAACACACCAATTTCCCTTTTGTGCCTGAGGAGGGTCTTTGTCCTATACCGAAAGGTGAATACTTCATAAAAAATATAGAGTACGACACCGATTCTTGGCCAAATCAAATACCGCGTGGCGTTATTAAAACAGTAATAACATTTTTCAAAGACGGAGTAAATATTGGCGGCTATGTAATACGTATGCTCGTAGAAGATCGTAAATGAGCGCAGGAGATATTAGATATGGAAATGATTGATTATGAAAATTATAAGCCATGAATGTAAAGTGAATATTTGAAATAAAAATTGTAGTATATTTGCAGATAATAATTAAAGATTTTTGGAATTTGAACGATGGTATGGGTTGGAAATTGCAGGTAAGTTAGAAATAGTTTCTGAGGGAAATATCTTCGAAAAGATAGGTTGTCTTGGTATTAGCCAAGAGTAGAGAAATCTCTAGCGAGCATAAAAACGAGCACCTACGTATGGTCTTCAGTATAAACGCATATTACCTATCTTAGGCTAATATAAGATTATTATTATTATTATATGTATGTGCGTGGAAATACCAAAGGAGTTGAAGATACCTCAACTGGATGATTTAAATGCACACCGCATATTTATCCTGGAAAGGGTAGTGTGCCTAGATCGGCTTGGTTAGGAAAGAATCATTGTATTTCACGTTAACTGGTGGTATGAGGGACTAATCGAGCTCGACTGTGCCGAGCTTCCTGGGACTGCGCAGGTTACAAAGTGGATGAAGGGAATGGTGAGTCCCGAATGGATACGCACAATGTGTCTCAATGTCAATGATGAAAAATGATAGAATTAGGTAACTATTTAATATTTAAGCGTCCGAATATCGCAATGTAGGCAGAATAAATTACTATGGGTTCTTATATCGTAGCAGAGATGGCGCCATATCCACGGATAAATGGAGGCATGTGGCAACAGCCTTCTCTTCTCCTACTGCAACCCGCAGCTGCCACTCGAAGGTTGTAAGGTTTGACTGATACTGCGTGCGCGCCTGAACACAAACTGCACTCCGTCAGTAAGCGAGGACGTCGAATTGGCATGGCTGGAGAAGACTTTGGAGCATTAAGATCCAGCAAATAAACCTCCAACACTCTAAGGCGACATCCACTAATCTCCTTACCCTCTTTGAGCAAGGTGTACCTGACGTAGTTCTGATCCAGGAGCCATGGCTGCGAAGTAACGATATCGCCTAAATTTAACCTGAAACGAATTGAAAGCAACTTATTTCCGCAACGAAAACATTGTGACAGTTAGACCAGTGGGCGGCGCCAGAAAGCTCTGCATCATATCCGCATATACGACGGATGACGACGAAGTGGAACCGCCTCCACTACAGCTGCGTGAAACCATAGCAGAAGCGAAACGATGGAATCTCGATGCTATTATTGGATCGGTTGCAAATTCGTAGCGCTAGGTCTAGGATTGCTCAGATATCAACGCGAGCGGTGAGTAACTTTTTTATTATATTCTAAGTGAGGAGTGCAGGAACTACTGCCAGAGAACTCCAAGGAGAGCTTAAGCATCGAAAGCTCGATTGATGATTTGGTGAAAACAGCGCCATCGAAAACTAATGGCCGCTGAGTAGACCCTGAGCAAAGTCCGACCTTACTGGTGGACGATGGAAATCTCGAAACTCAGGGCGCCGAGCAGGCGCCTTTTCAATAAAGCCAGAAAGAGTAGACAACACTTTGACTGGGAACACTACAAGGTCGGACTGGGTATCTATAAGTCCGAGATAAGAAAAGCCAAAAGTGAGTAATGCAGATATTTCTACGAAACCGTAGGGGGTTGTCATGAATCATCTCGATTTAGGTGAATCCGCGCGTGGAGTCCCGTATCCTTGGGATACTTGCGAGATAAAGAGCGCAATTGGACGATGAGCGGAGAGGAATCGCTTAAGCTACTCCCTGACACTCATTTCCCATCCAATTCTACCACGAATGAGCCTACGAGTTATGGTGAGGTCGACTACCCTACACCTTCCAATGAACTACTAGAGAAGCGCCGGCTTCTCATGGAAATTGACTCGTTCAAGCTTTTCAAGGCACTTGGACCGGATGACACCATTCCTGCGCAGCTGGAAAACGCTGTAGAGATGCCTTATCGTTAGCTCACTCCCATCTTGTCGAGCTGCATAGGAAGAGTGTACATCCCCCAAAGCAGAAAAAAACCACATAGTTATCTCCGTGGGGCTTCAGACCAATCAGTCTCACTTTTGAGATACTTATTGAACTGCATGTAAGAAACGGGATTCCTCGAGAGCGATTGAGCTTCTCTCAACCCAGCGTACGGGCAGTCGACAATTCGCAAAAACTTCGACTGCTGCTGGACCCAACCGAATCCTACTCCACGCTCAACCCCACAAGTACGAACGAGAGAATCTGCAACCTTTGAAGCAGATCTCCAATAAACATCTTCACGAACTGATCGAAGCTGAACGGGAGAGTTGGAGGAGGTGTCCGATGTCGCGAACTCCATACATATTTTATGTTCTCTGACTGCCGCTTCTCTGGAGCGTCTTTCAGGCAGAGATATTTTTCTTATTTGGCAATGTAATCGCCAAAGCGATCCCCGCAATAAAAGAGGCAACCGACTGACTACGCACCAAAGTTTTCGTGATTTGAAGGGTAAATGTCTACTCTGATAGCCAAGCGGTAATCGAGGCTCTTAACAGCCTCGGAGTACTTTAAAACCAAGCTCGCAAGTCATTCTCAAGGTCATCACCTTGAACAGGGAGGGCGGCCTGCTCCTGGAATGATGAACTCACATTCGACACAGCCCGTGCCGGGGGAAAACCTCGACATGCAAAGTTGCTGGGTGCCTGCTGCCGGTTGTTAATCGCAGGCGGTCAAGGGAGCTTCTGCAGCTGGCCAAGCGCCAGCTCTCGATTTATACAGATTTACGGACCGGACATTGTCGGATCCCTATTCCCCAGCTTTTGGGAAGATGAGGTGGAATCATATCAAAACCTCTCTCTCAGTAGTTCACAATCAAGGGTCTTTTATGATTAGGAGGAAGTATGAATCTTGCCATTAGAGCAACTGTAATAATCATTTTTCTAACATTCTTTGTCCGCCCCTGAGGATAAGTTGCCATTGATGTAACACGTGATTCTTCAAACAAGGGATTTTTTTCCAATTTGTCATTTAATCAAAAAAGCTGTGATGAATGATAACCATAACAAGCTGTATTATAAATATATAATTGCAAGTCAATTAAAATAACTCCGTAAATGGAAATGCGAGTTTCATGTTTTTGCGCTATCAATGATTTTAGTTTCTCACTTATAAAATTTACCTATAAATACCAGGCGAACAAACCAATGATTGCCAATATTTCTCAAAATCTGGTGAATAATCAATTAGTAAAATTTCGCGATAACGTCGCTAAAGCACTTTTCTCGACATGAAGTACTCTGTGTTTGCAATTGTCCTTTGTTACCTGAGTGTCCTATCAAAGGTAAATCTTGAAAAATTCTCTGAACAAAACTATCATTTACTAGAAATAATTTAAGGCTAAGCAACCATACACTGTGAAAATTGAAGACTTCGAATGTTTCAATGGCTTGACGGAGACCCTATTTAATTGTGAAGTGAAACTCGTTGGGCGACAACGTCTACTTAATGGCACCATGACATTCGGCGAGGATATGGCTAGCGATCACTTTAAATACCAAATAGAGATATTTAACGCACCACCCGGCGATAATCAGTTCAAGCGATTGCCTATGGGTGTGCCGCGCACCCCTATTTGTGAGGGTTTTAGAGCCTATTACGGCGAATTTGTGCAGCCGTCATTTATTCAGGAGGAAAATACCAATCTGCCGTTTATGCCCAAGGAGGGTCTTTGCCCCTTCCCAAAAGGTGAATACTGGTTTAAGGATGTAGAGCTTAACACAGACTTATGGCCAAATCCAATACCGCGTGGCATAATAAAAGCAGTGTTAACATTTTTCAAAGACGAGGTTAATGTTGGTAGCGGTGAAATAAAAATGCGTATCGAATATCGTGAATAAGCGCCGAAGATAGTGGAGTTCCGATGGAATATTGATTTGGATTGTGAAAATTTTTAGCTATTGAGTTCATGGAGTTCTAAGCGAATATTTTTGAAATATACGAGTGCGTTCGCAGCAATTTATGTAATTAAAGTTTCTATCAAATTATAATGAAAGTGAAGTGGAAATACTAATTAGATATATGAAGAATTCATAACCTTTTGACGCTCTCAGCGACAAATCTATCTCTCATTAATGGGCTTTTAAAGGGTACTTGATCAGTTGAAAAATAGTACCGGTTCGAAATGTGCGTAAGGATTTCTGCAGAAAAGAGTCAGAATTAATTCAATGGTTTCTGAGGGATCTTCAGAAACCTAAGTTGTCTTGGCGTGAGGACCAAGATTAGGGAAGTCTCTAGTAACATTACAACGGGCATCTGTAGCCACAAATTGATAGTACCAATCGATTAGATACCAATGAGAAGGTGCCTTATACACGCTTATGCTGAACTTTTAATGCAAATTTAGTAATTTAAAAATTAGCTTTTTCGAAGAGTGTACATGGCGCCGCAATAAACAAATGTACATTAACGCGAGATCGGAATCGTATGTTTTTGATAAACAGTCGCGTTACGGTCGTTCATTCGATTCCATATCTAATTAAATTAGTGATGTATAGAGTCGGTACTTTTAAGTATTAAGTAAAAAGTTTCCAATACTTTTGATACTCGGTACCGAAATATTGGAATTTCTAATAAGAGGCCGCAATACCCACAAATCTGAAATAAAAGCTGTTTAGCGATCGTTGAAGTCATTAATCTATGGTTGGCGGAGTCTATTTCTTCACATTATTTGTATCTGAACTTTCTCGTCGCTGGATTAATATCTTCCCCTGCGGCAACCACAATGAAAATCGTATTAAATATTCTTTGAATAGAGTTGGCATAAAAATTGCGAGCATTGACATGCACATTGCTCATCTTTTGACAAAGCATCGTCTTATTTGTACCTTTTCATATTTCAGGCGATGTCATATAAAATATTTAGCAATGAAATATTTTTTTTTCTGCAAACTTCAAATGTGTACCCTTGTGGTCAGCTGATTACGTTAAGAAACATTTTGACCAGTTTTTTTTTCTTTGTCTACTAATTGTCTATAATTTTTTTTTTATATTTAGGTTATTATCACAATTAAAATTATATCATAAAATTTGTGTAAGTTTTTACCTATTGCGATGTGCAATGTTGTCATACGAAAGTAATGTTTAGCATTCTCGCTTTACGAAGCTATAAATAGAATAAAAAAAAAACAAGTAATTTTAAGCAGAAAACATAACCGACTTCAATTCTCATATACAAATTTAAGAGTACCGTATATTTCTTCATGATACAATGATCGGATCTAAACCAAATTAGTATGGGACCATCTCGGAAGTGCCGCATTTACTTAAAAAAAAAAAAAGAATTATCGAAATCGGATGACGTGGTCCAAAGTAATGCGGTAACATACATAAAAAAAAATATTCCCACGAATTGATAACCTTCTTCTTTTTAACCGACTTCCAAAAAAGGAGGAGGTTATTAGTTCGTCTGAATATTTTTTATTATTATTATTTTATTTATTTTTTTTTAATGTATGTTACCGCGTAACTTTGGACCACGTAAACCAATTTCGATAGTTCTTTTTGCATCAGAAAAGTAGTGTCCCAGAGTTGGTCCCATACTAATCTGGTTTAGATCCGATCATTGCATCATGAAATATATATATATATATTTATATGAGAATTGAAGTCGGTTTTTTTTTGCTAAAAATTACTTGTTTACTTAAAAATTACTTGTTATGAAGTCGGTTATTAAAATAAAAATAAACTCCGTTTTGAACCCGTGACCAACAAGTTGGTAGCCGAACACGCTCCCATGTAGCTACATTAGCTGTTGATATAATGTGAGAAAAAAACATACTTAAGTTAGTCCTCAAACTTTTTGAAGTGAAACTTCCTTAGCGGCGGTTGGTTGTTTGGGAGTAAATAAGCAAATTCAGCGGAAATTGCACACGGAAATGGTGCAACGGAAATGGTTGGGACGGATACAAGTATTTCTTGAATGGATCTTATTAATTTAACAAAAACTTGCTAATAAAAGGTTAAAGAATAACACTTAGAAAAAGATCAATACAAGAATGAAAGTAAAGGTGAGTACGTACATAGATAAAGAAACGGACAAAGGCAACGGTAAATATAAAAACAAAAACAAAGTTGCGCAAAGATAAAATATGAATAATATGATAAACTTAAAAATAAAAACAAATATTAATATAAAGAAAAAGATGATGATGAGGATACCGATAAAAGTATAGATGAAGATATAGGAAGAAAGGTTAAAATAAAGGTAGTTGTAGAGAAAAGGATATAGATAGAGGCAATCTCTAGACCCAATCTGGGAACTATTTCGGGATTCTTGGGACTTATCGCTATAATAATCGATATTTTGTCGATTTGTAATCGATATTTTTATCGATGTTGCTATCGTAATTTTTACCGATATTGTTATTGATTTTGCTATCGATATTTTCGGAACTTGAAATCGATATTTTTTTATCGATATTTGTATTGCTTTTTTTTTGTCGATTTTGTAATCGATATTCTTATCCACTTTGTAATCGACTTTGTTATCGATGTTTTGATAGATTTTGTAATCGATTTTGTTTTCGATTTAGTTGTCGATTTTGTTATCAATATTTTTATCGATTTTGTTATCGATTTCGCTATCGATATTATTATCGATTTCGCTATCGATATTATTATCGATTT